GTGTAATTTCAGCGGCCACGTGAATTATTGAGGCGCCCCAGTTAATTATACTGTTGTGGCGGTGCAATTGTTGGAGCTGGAAATTAGCAGCTGCTGCGTGCGGTTGCTAGCCGGGGGCGGGGGAGACGAACGAGTGAGTCGAAAAATTGGCAAATTGCACGGCAGAGACAAACAAACAATACATTTCTCCTTCACATCTATTTAGTTTGTATTTGCTCTCATAGGGCTGCAATTCTAAAATAGCAAAAACTATACACAATTATCATTTTTCGCAGCTTATCCAAAAAAAAAATCAACACAGCGATCTAATGAAATGTCAAATTATTGCTTTTACAAAAACAGGGAAATTTCGAAAGTGCTAAAAATCCATTTCACTTATAAGATATGAGAAGTTTGTTTTTGTCGTATTGGGGCGGAAACGCATCGAGAGATTTTGTGGCAGACAGGCAGGCACTCTGCCCCGTGAATGGAGTAAAAAATCGTCCTCGTTAGCCACAGATGACAAATCGCTCGGCTCGCAGCAGCACAAATCGGCCGTTCCTGCCCAATTTCTGCGCTGTTTTTGACGAGGGACCCAAATAATAAATTCCGCTCTGTCAAAACAGTGCCATTATTTGTGCCGTCGGTGGAAAGAAGCAAACGAACGTCAGCCAGCAACATTTTGCTCTCTTACTGTACCGCGCGCGTAATGTCGCAGTTTCATCCTAATGAGAGGCATGACGCACTCGCCGAGAGCGCTCATCATTATTATTGTTATTCGCGAGAGAGCGAGCGAGTTGAGAGCTAGAGTGAGAGCGCGCGCAGGTCCTCCCAAACAATCATTATCGCCGCACCCTTGGCGCGTCTCATCCCCGTCATTTTCGTGTAATTAACCCGCAGCCGAAACTCATCAGCCCTCTCTGTCGGCGGCGGCGGCAAAAATTCTTTCTGCCCAGCGAGCACCAGTGCGAAGGTGACGCGTGAGAACTGAAGCAAGGGGTGTGAAGGAGGGTGTGCGAAATTGTTCCAGTAGGGGGCTGCTGTGGTTGCAAGATGCTCAAATCGATCAACTCAGACAAGGGTTGCACAAACTATAAATGGGGAGGCAATTTCAATTTTGCACACACTATACAAGTTTTTTCTTAACTTGCAAAACTTTGTAGTAAATAATTTATTTTTCCAACTAAATTGGTGTTATTTCAAAAGGAAATCCAAAAAATGCAGATCAAAGATTTCCTACTCGAAAATTTTGCCTTTGTTCTGCCTCCATTAATAATTAAGCTCCCACTCTGCCACTTTTTAAATGCCCAATTTGTCCGGCTTTAATTGAGAAAGACGAGCGTGTGCGAATTGCATTAATTGAAACGTGCCTCCCTCTCTCCCCCGAACGGCGAGGAGCGTATAAAAAAAAGAAGCATTCGCCCCGGCCGTTAAGTGGATTCGGCAGCTCTGATTGAAGGGCGAAAAAGGGCCGGTGAAATGGAGAGCGAAACCCGAGGAGAAAAATCGAATTTATTTCTCGCCGGGTTCTAATTATTCAGCTTGCGGGAAGGAAGGGTCACTTGAATAATGAGTCTCCGAGGAGGAAGTGCTGGGGACGCACGCCGCCGGTAATAAGGAAGTGTTCTGCTCGAGCTGGGGGTTGAAGTAATAATAAGTTTTGCAGGGATTTCGGCGGACGGACGGTGCTTCGCCGGCGGCTCTCTTTTCTCTCACACACACTCTCTCTACTCACGCCACTCGGCAAGTTATTTCGAGCCACTCATGTCAGCTCGCGAGATTTAATAGTCATCATCAAAACGGCAATTGGCGATTGCACCACTCGCCCCAGCTGCTTCCCTTGGAAACAATAGGATTTTTTATCCACAAATGAATATTTGACTTGCACAATTTGGTGCAGGGTTTTCTTAAATTATTATTTTTATTATTATTTGAAGTTTCAGTTTTTAGTTAATTTTGTATATTAACAAATTATGCCGTTGATTTAGAAGTTTAACTGTTTTAAAATTTCCTATGTGTGCATTTTTGGATTATTTTTTTTTTCAAACTTTCTGTCAAACAGTTCTGGCCAAATTTTATTGGGACAAAGCTTGGACTTTTCGCATTAAAATCAAATCAAATTTTCCTCTTCACAATGACATTTTGAATCATTTTTTTTCTTGCGTCAATTTGCCGCTTTTACAAAAAGTAATATCTGACAAATGGACACATTTCAGCACTCGCAGAGAGCAATAATTTTGAAGCTCTGGATCGTCGCTAACGAAAAATGCCGCAACATGACGCTACACTCCTTGTGCAAAATGAATAAAAGCCGCGTTAAAAAGTCTGTGTGGCGAGAGCCCATGCTAATTAAAAGGCCAGTCGCGCTGATTTATTCGCCGTCCAAACCACATGGCATCGCCGATTAATAATGAAAAAGGCGGCGGCGGCGGCTCTCCGACCAAATGCCCGCCGCGAAATTTTTGCACCTATGGCGCGACGGATTGAGGAGAGAGAAAAATTAAATGTAAGAGCAGAGATGGCAAAGCGAACACCTGGACCGCGCGGCGAGCAAAAGACTAAAATATGCATTTTCATTAATGAACATTGAGAATTTTGGGCGAGCTAATTTTGCCACCAACGTATGGCAAACGTCCAAAAGCTGCTTCTAAATTTCGCAAATGGAAACAAGGTGACCACTTTGAGTTTATTATTCATTCAGTAAAATTTAGAATAAATGCAGAAATTCTGAAATACTTTGTATATTTTAGCAAAACAAATTACAATTCAAACGTGAAACAATATTAAAAAATATCAACTTTTTATTAGTTGTGTAAGTTGATTATTTCTGCAAAACATAATTTTAGAAGTAACAACTTGAAAATACAGGGAACATTTGATTTTGGGAATACGAATTTATGATTTATTTTTAGTAAATAAATGGAAGCTGTATGATTGATTGTGAGAAAGTGGTTCAAAGGAAAAAGAGAAAAAGCACGCGTGTTTTGAGTGCGCTTATTTCACAAGCTGGATCGATAGTTGCTCTGGCACTTCAGAAGGCCGAGTCGCATAATCAACTGCAGCACTACTTTCTTTGAGAGCCGCTAATTTGTCACCGCTTTCAAAGGGGTGACTTTTCCGGGGCGTGTTGACCCAGCCGCTCGTTATTTACAATTGGAAACGCAGCAAACCGTCCGGCGTGACACATTTTTCAGGGAAACCTTTGCGAGCGCAAAAAGAGAACAAAGCAAGAACGAAGCCTTTCAAATTTATTTGCGCCTCGGCCGACAGCCGATAAAACGGAAGTGTGGACTGAGTATTTTTCCAAATCAAATCTTCCACTTTTCCTGTCGTCCACCTGCTGGGAAGTTCTTTCTTTGGGACAAAATTCTACTCAATATAAAAGCCGATTGCATTTTCTCGCAAATGTCACGAGCGGCTGCCGAGTTGTAAAAAGTTAGTGGCGGGCATTATGCAAAATGGGCCTCTGCATTGCATATCCATCTCTCTCTCCAGCTCCATCTTTATTCTCTGCTTGTGTTGTGTGGAGAGACGGCAGGGGAAGCAGCTCCGCCGCATTGGCGCATCGCTCTTTGTTATGGATCCGAATTTATATGTGTGTTTGTATGCGCCGTATATGGTTGGGCGCCGTATTTTCATTTCTATCGGCTGCAAAGTGCGGGCCAAAGTGCCACCGCTATCTATCTTGCAGCGCACCAAATTTTACAACGAAAGCTGCACCGGCTCCGATTTCACTTGCTATAACAAAAGCTACATTGTAAAATATATAAAATGCGTATCTGATAAAAAAGTCAAGATATTAAATGCAGAGAAACTGCAACCTTAATTCACAATTTTAACTTAAAGTACTTGATCAATTTTATAAAATAAAATAAATCTTTTCCAATAACGCCTATAAATGTTAAGCGCATGTTCCCTTTTTCTAAGCTGCTGGATTTTTACCGCCATAGAACCTGGACAACTTGATTTTGAGAGAAACAAAAACAAGCTCAGTTCTCGATGCTACGTTATATTTTTTATTTTTTTAAATCAACTTTTTAAATCAACGTTAAATGACTCATGACTGTATCGAATGGAGAATCAATAAATAAATAAATAATCTTCAGCATAAATATTTTTCTAGAATTGAATTTCTTTTCCTGTTTTTTCCCAATACTTTTTCTTACAGCGCAAGACACGTAAAAATATTCTGCACGGTCTTGAAAGTCGATTGATTTGTGTGTAGCTATTTTCAATTTCATCTCTGTGCACTGTTTTGTGTTTACACGTTTTGCGCACCAATATAAGATAGGAAAAATGGAAGTATCGGCTCAGTCAGACGAGAGACGACATGCAAGTAAGTGCAAAACACAATGAGGAGGGCGGAGTGAGGAGATAAAACGTCGCCAACAGAACTATATCGGAAGCAGATGAATATTTTATGCCACGTTTCGGCAGCATCGATTTCACGTCAGCATCAACGGAGCCAAGCGGGCAGGTATTTCCATCAATTGGCCAAATAATAGAGCTGCATTGACAGGTTCGCGCGGTAATTCGCAATGTGTGCAGCCGCGATTTTGCAGCAGTTTTGACAACAGCTTTGTTTGTTGGTACCGCGCCTATTTTATCTGCCCTGAAAATAAGGTCAAGTTTGGAGCCGCGGGGTGGAATTATCGAATCACGTGCCTCTTCATTTGTTTCGTTCAAAGGCAAGAGGGAGATCAATCGGAAAGGAGCATGGTTAGATGGATATCTGCGCGCTTCTGGGGATCGACTCTGCTCCTTGAGAAGGTAAGTTTTGCATCGCTGAGGGACACGAAGGAAATAAATTCTCTTTGACGGTTTCATAAGACCCTTTGAAAAGGCCGCGTATTTTTCCTCAATATGTGCTTGAGCAAAGATTGACTTCTTGATTAAACCTTTTCACAAAAGCTTTTTCCCGGAATACAAAGATGTAAGCAACAAAATTCTTTCCTCAAGGGAAGCAAACTTTCGATGAAAACATAATAAATTATAAATAAAATTATAAGAATTGTACTCACCGAATTGTGCTGCTGGTAAGCTGGCGCCGAGTATGAGGGCGCCGACACGGAGATCGGCGCCGCGAAGCGCATGGAGGCGGCCTGCGCGTACGCGGCACTGCCCCCGCCGCCTCCGCCGCCACCCCAACTTTGTTGCTGCTGTTGGCCGGCCGCTGGGGCGGGTCTGTAGGCGGTGGAGCCGGCTGAGGTGGGAGTCATGTTGTTGGATGGCCGAGGACCTCCTGCGCCCTTCTGTCCTCCGTAGGCTGGTCTAGGAACTGTAGCACCCTGAGAAACAAACACCAAAAAGACGGTCAAGCTTGGATCTTGTGACTGTTTAAGATTTTCAAAAATCGTGGAGTGATGGATTTGAAGTCTAAATCAACAATTTTTTTAATCCCAGCTTGAAAATTTCCAGTATGTCTTTGGACGGTGCATAAAAAATAAATCGTATAAATATTTTCCCATTCAATTTCTTTTGAGGAGAACAAACAATCATTAGGGATGAAATATTAATTGAAAGGGTTTTTCATGTAGAATATCCATTCTTAACAAAACGTTATCAAAAGCCACAGCCTGGAAATGCTTTTGCAAGGAATTATTATCCGATTCCAGCCGCGGAAATAACTCGGCGATGCCCGCAAGTAATTTAATTGTAAGCATTCTTTCCAATAATAACGGCGCGGCGGCTGCAAATACCTGCCATATTAAAAGCCGCATGGCAACCCTCCCACCCCCTGTCATTCCCTGGTGCGTACGCAGGGAGGGCTCGCAGTGAAAAAGCAGGCCAGCAATCCTTTTGCACATTTTATTAAATATCTCTCTGGCAGCGTCTCTCTCGTTCCTCAAATCCCGCGCCGCTCATTTCCTTTTTGCGTGCAACTTTTTAATTAAACGCATACTTGTAAATACCCTCGGATTTTCTACTCAGTCTTCCTTCAACCACCGCAAATCATATTTCAAGCGAAACTTTTCCATTTTTTATGTCAAAATTTTTCTCAAGAACACTTTCCAGGTAATACTGAGAAAAATTTAATCAGCATCAAGTAGGCAATAAATGTAAATCATCTGCGAATTATAATCGCATCTCATCCTGAGCAGCAGCAGCTTTTAATTAAATTTGCCTACGGTCGCTGCTTCTCGAGTGCAGAAAAAATAAAAAGTAGTCTCTCGAGCGTATAATTATATTTTATTCATGCAGCGAGCGAGCGGGCGCGTCGAAACTTTTGTTTTGCTCTTTCATGTTTGCAGAGCTGTCCTCGGGCGGCAACGCCGTGCTAATTGCTCGACATCGTCATTGTCTCGCCGGCGCGCATCAAATATTAAGATTCAGCGCAAAAAGCAGAGAACTCCCTCACGGCTGCGCTTGTCATCAACACTAAACAAATACATCCGCTCAAAACTGTTGCTTAGCATCTCTCTCTCGCACGTGGAATTCCTCCTTTTCTACCTCCGTGATTTCGCTTTCGGCGGCGGCACTGCCACTGTCAATCAACCGTCCCGTTCGTGCTGCACTTTCCGATCAAGTAACATGCAACTCGAATTTTGTAACTCGACATTTCTCTCTCTCTCTCGCCGCACAGTGTGTTATTAACATTGAGCTCGGCAGCAGTCACACAACTAGGCTTCCGGCACGAAATATTAAAATTAACCCTCGCCAGTCCAGTTACAAAATACACGCTCAATTTATGAATTTCAAAAGAGCACAACACATGCGATTCACAAGAGCAAACTTCTGGAATGCACAAAGATTTATTTAAAGATAAAAACAAGTATTCATTTGAAACATACATGGAAAATAAATGAATTAAAAAATAGAAGAAATTAATCGCGCTTGAGCGCAAGCAACATGATTATTTTTTATTTTCATAGATATTTAGAAAATAACTTTTTTCACCATTTTCAAAAATATTTCTCTATCCAGGATAATTTAATCCCAGTGAAGTTAAATTAATTTCTTTCCAACTGATCCACTTATTTCTAAATAAGGATGAAAAAAATCAGTATTTGGATTATTCTCAAAATTGCCTGTGAATTTCTTTCTGTCCTTTCTTCCAATATATTTTCAAGCAAAAAAGAATCCCTTGCCCTTTGCGACAGGAATAATAGACGCAAATTTGGCAGTCGTCGAATTTGTCGCGGCCCATCAACGAGTAATCGCCAAATTGATGATTGACGGCGTCTGCGGCTCAGGCGAATTTCGCACCCTCCGGATGGCGACCGTCGTCATCAATAATGCTAATGACGAGTGCACGCAATCGAACAGCGCATCTGTCGCGCCGCAACACGCACCACGTGCTCATTTAATTAATCACACTCGCAACTAATGGTCCGCCGCGGCGAATCGTTTACGAATTCGATTTTGAATTACGTACATAGGTGTGTACATAGTCGGAGGCCGCGTTCATCAATCAGCAAAAGCGCGTCTGCAATGAAGCCTGGTGGAATTTGCGCGTCGGCGGCCAAGCCCGGCGGCGACGCAAAACTCGATAATAACCGACATCGGTACCCCTGGTGTCAGTCAATATCCAATCACGGGACAGACGCAAACATACACGGACAGACAAAAGCGCAAGTGGAGCGTTCACTTCATATTTGATTGCGGTATGAACACGGCGCCGTCATCACGACTTGCTAATTAATTATTTCCCCCAACGGCGGGACAACCATTGATTTCCCACAGAAAAGTGGAAAGGTCCTATCCAATTTTATTTTATTTTAGTTCAATAAGAGAGCTGCAGTATTTAAAATATTATTTTTGAAATTTAATTCATGAAGTCCCACCAAACAAAAATAGAATTAAAATACTCATTTGAAAAGTTATGAAAAAATTAATTTTAACAAACCCTGCAAGAGAATAAAGGGAAAAGTGGCAAGTTTTCCTTATCCTTCCCCCCTCACATATACTTTTAAAATTTACGGCCAATTATCCCAGGCAATTACCAGCATTTCGCAAGCGTATATATTTAAACAGGGCCGCGGAAATTCAATTTAGCGCGCTCTGGCAATTACACAATGTTCCCGGCCGGCCCATTCACTGCTCCTGCTGTACGCAAACTTAACTGCATGTTTTGTTCAAATGTCGGGTGTACGTGCAGCGCAGTATCAAACACGAGACCAGGCAGCTAGTTTGCGTCGTCGTGTCCTTTGATATCTCATCGCTCTTTGTTCCCAGCCATATTAAATGGAGTTAGATATTCATTCCCTTTGCCGCTACAACCAAACACACATTCACATACACACGAACGAAACCCTGCCTGCAACATGATGCTGCCGCGGCCATTAGAGGTCGGGAACGACCTCACATCTCCCGCGGGGCTCGAAACGGGAGACGATCCCAAGCCCAATTTCGGTCTCACTTAACAAATTCCAGGGAGTGCAGTTTCAATAAATGATGACAAAATTTGATCGATTAATACAATATCTGCAAAATTTTAGATAAAAATATATCTATGGTATTCAGTTTTTTCTTTAATTCTTATTTTGAAAAAATGGAATATTTTTATTAAAAAAATTCTATGGAGGCTATTAAAGATTTTGTTGAAGAAATTTGAGAAAAAATAAGTTGTTAGCCAATTTAGCTCTTCAAATATTTTTTTTTTTTTTAAATAAATTTGGGCGTGAAATTCAAGAGTTGTGTGAAACTTTTTCACCTTTTTTGAAAAAATTTTCATACGAAGTCAAGAGTTTACAAACATCTGTTGAAATTTAAAACAATCAAGGACGATCGTTAATTTCATGGGTCAGACGGACACAATAAGGGGCTGCACATAGCATTGGTAACAAGATTAAATCGGAGGTGTTTTACACGTGCAAGACCGGGCTTTGGCGCACGATTTACGGCGTTGTGTGCCCAAATGCAGCTCGGCCGCACAATTGAATTTCGAGCTGGTCCCGGGCAGACCTCTAATCTAGTGTAACCGCTCGTTCTGCGAGAGAGCCGGCGGATGAATAATTGAGACGTAAAATATCACCGACGCACGCACTACTAAATCCTTTTAATACGCGCTAAAAGCTCGGCGGAGAACGCTTGTGTTTAAACGGCCGCGTGCGAACTGAATTCAAATGCGGGGCCGGCGATAAAATAATGTTATTGGTCGGCGGCGATCCTGCCGGTGTCTGATGAAATATGCAGCGGATTGCAAGGATTTAGCCTCGCCAGCCGCGCCTGCGTTCATTTTTAATTCATTTGTTATCGGCAAATTCGGCCGTGGTAATCCGGCCGGATGAGCAGCTTTGCTGAGTGCTTTTGGAAATTTCGCGCGGAATTCCGTTCGGCTGCATTTCAGATCGGAAGGGGGTTATCTCAAGTGCGCGGCGCTCATAACGAACTGCAATTTTCCGCGCTCCGAGTGCTTCTCGAGAACTCGGTTAAGACAAAAAGGCCGCGCTAGACTGGCTCTCCGTAAATTAAGTCCTGCTGCTCAAAATTTCGACCCCTGCGCATGGATGGATGAATGCAACCTGGCTCAGCACCAACGACGAGCAGGTTGCATACTTACTTTGCAAGAAACGTTTTGAAAATTAAAATTCTGATAGTATTGGAAATTAGACACAAAAGTCTGAAAACTTTCAGTAAATAAATCAACTTGAGGAGGTAAAAAAATTGTATTTTTTAGTTAAAGAGAGATGAAAAAAATCTAAATTAAACTTGTAACTTGATTGCTCAACATGAATTCTGTGCAGGACGTTGGCCATTGAAGTAATTTGCAGAATTCACTGTTGCGTGGCTCTATTTAGAGAGCGGCACCCAACGAATTTCCTTGGTAACGCGAACGAACGATTGCAAACAACGTCTGCCGGAGTAATTGGACTAGTCTGCGCCAAACAAACTGTAAAATTATCGACAGAATTATTAAAGGCTCTCCCCACGCGCGTCGAGCGGAAGACGATTGAGCGAGGGAGCTACTCACTCTGGCCCGGTACGTCAGATCCTGCTTCACAATGGATGGATGATTTCAATTGAGGAGCACCGCACGCACGAAAGAGGATCGGGCGAGTGCGAAGCGACGCAGCAGTATCAAATGAAATGAGCAGCCGGATGGAGATTACATTATTTCCTCGTCTCGGTGTGTGTGTGTGTGTGCGAGTGACTCACTCGATACTGTCAACATGCTGATGGCTCGCTTTGTTTCCAAATAGAATTGAGGAAGGTGCATGCGTTTCAACAGACTGTTTGTTCCAATATCGATTATCAAGGGTAAACAGCAGAGAGGAGACGTCGTTTGCCGACTGCCTCGTTTTGTCTCAAATTCGGCTCTACACTCTGTTGTCCCTCTCCACGGGTA